GAATTAATTATGCACCAAACACTATTGAGGAAGCATACTATCTACGTGTTTTACTTAATATTGTTCGTGGATACACCTGATTTGATGACATAAAGACCTACAAACGTGTGCTATACTCTACTTACGAAGAATGTTTTTTTGCTCGTGGTCTACTAGAAGATGATCAAGAGTATATAGATGATATTATCAGGTCAAGCTACACGAGCACTGCATTCGTTTTCCGACATGCCTTTGCTGTAACGCTCATGTCCATGACTTTGTCAATGCCAGAGAAGGTTTGGGAAAATACATAGGAAGTACTTTCAGAAGACATACAGTGTAGACAGAGAAAACATTTGAATAGGCCAGGTTTTTTTTTAACCTATATCTCATTTTAAAACATGAAATTGCATTTAATTTATTACATGCAACATATATAAATTAAATAATTGTATTTAACCTGGCCTGTTGAACAAGATTATGTCTAAGCGATGCTGAAAAAAAAAGGAGCTCTATTGAAGATTGAGAAAATATTGAAACTCAATGGAACTTAACTATCAAATTGGGACAAAATGCCAAAGCCCTTCTGTGATGTTTCTTAGAATCAAAATGTTTTGATTCTTGATGAGCTATCCTACAACTGTGAAGAATTGGGGGAAGAACACGATAGGGACATCGTAAAGATGAAGGATGAGCAGAGGAAGATTTACGAGGAAATTATGGAATAGGTTTTTGAAAAAAAAGAAGGTATTTTCTTTGTTTATGGTTTTGGTGAAACTGGGAAGACATTTTTGTGGAGATTATTATCTGCAGCTATTAGATCGAGGGGTGAAATTGTGTTGAATGTAGCCTCAAGTGGTATGGCATCGCTTATGTTACAAGGAGGAAGGACTGCGCATTCTAGATTCAGAATACCTATTGATCCGGATGAATATTCTCTATGTAATTTGCCACCAGGTAGTGATGCTGCTAATTTGGTTAAAGAAGCTTCGCTTATCATTTGGGTTGGAGCACCGATGATGAGTAAACATTGTTTTGAGTCGTTGGACAGAAGCTTAGCAGTCATTATGAGAACTAAAGAAAAGAAGCTATTTGCCGGGAAAGTTGTTGTATTAGGTGGTGATTTCAGACAAAGACTGCATGTTATTAATGGTGGCTCAAGGGCTAAACTTGTGTTGAATTCTCTGAATTCATCCTATCCGTGGAAGCATTGCAAAGTGCTCAAGTTAACAAAGAATATGACGTTGTTGTCGTCTGATATGAATGCTGAAGAGTTGAAGGAACTTGAATCATTTTCGCAGTGGATTTTGGATGTTGGAGATGGAGTAGCTGGTGAGGATAATGATGGTGAGGCACTAATCACCATTCTAGATGAATTTTTGATTATGGATGCAAATTATCCTATTGAATCGATCAGCAGAGAAGTTTACGGAGATGTGAAAGATTTATAGCAGTAGAAAGATCCTATTTTTTTTCAAGAGAGGGTTATTATTTGTCCGACCAATGAGGATGTCAACAATACAAATCAGCATATGTTGGATAAATTAGATGGTATGTACGTTTCTGTCACATATAATTTGTTCTATATGTTGTTAAGGCGTCTAACATAATTTTAACTTAAATAAATTTCAGGTGAGGAGAGAATATGTTTAAGCTCTGACAGCGTGGACCCATCTGATACGCGTTCCATCAATGATCAGGCTCTGACACCGGATTTTCTTAACAGTATCAAGGCATCAGGTTTGCCAAATCACAATCTTAGATTGAAAATTGGTTGTCATGTTCCTAAGGAATATTGATCATGTCGGAGGATTGATGAATTGAACTAGATTGCAAATTATAGATATGTCTGATTTCTGTGTCAACGCAAGAATTATTTCAGGAAAGAAGGTCGGGGACATAGTTTTAATACCTAGCTAGACTGACCATTACTCCATAAGACAAGAAGTTACCATTCAAGATGAGGAGAAGACAGCTTCCTATATATGTGGCATTTGCTATAACAATCAATAAAAGCCAGGGGTAATCCTCATGTTGGTATATTTCTCCCTCGACCAGTGTTTTCTAACGGACAACTATATGTTGCTATCTCCAGGGTCACATCCAAGAAAGGTTTGAAGATATTGATTGTTGATGAGTATGGAAAACCTCATAAACAAACACAAAATGTTGTTTTCAAAGAGATATTTCAAAATCTCTAACTTTGTGATTTTTTTTTTATTGTATGTCGAATGATACATTATTTCTTTTTATTGTATTTGAAAACATTTCCGTGTTTTTAGGAAAAGATTATTACGCAATTAACTTTAGAATCTTAATATATATATATATATATATGTATATATATCATCGTATATAATTAGTAGTCCAAACTAAAAAATTATTATACAATAACGTTTGGGCCTAGAAGTTTTTTTCGATTGGGCTTCAACAATTGAAAAAAAATATTTGGAAATAGTCCGGCCCAGAATTTTGATTCTATTTAACCTTAACATGTTTTGTACATATTTACTTTCAATATAAACTATCCATAAGGAAACTTTCATAACCAAACATAAATTCAAGGCCCATAAGAAATATGGGGTATTGATGGCTCTTTAAAAAGCTAATGAGATGTTGTATATATTTGTGTTGGATCATTAATAGTCCAGAAATAAGTTCATACATTAGTTAAACAAATTTTAGGTAGATTATTTTTAATATTTTAATTTTATACAAAACTTAGTTAATGAAATAGACCATGCGTAAATCCGAATACACATAACCATCTAAATTATGGTTTTTGTAATAGAAACCAACCTTAAAAAACATTAATAACCAAAACTAATGAGATATTTGTTGTTTATGGTCCGTGAAAATATTAATGAGATAGTTTTGCTACAGGTTCTTATTTAAGTTAGTAGAAAATCTGATTTTTGTTTAAAATCATTATATCGATTTTAAAGTTTGTTAAATATTCTCAGGCTCTATTATTTTGCGTATCAATATTGAACATAATATAATGTTCAAAATGATTAGTTGTATATATTTTACTCCAAAATTCAGTTATCTAACAAATTAAAAATTTCTTAATAGTTCAAAAATCAGTTTAGAAAAGAGGACTATATCTATTAATATATACCAGATAAATACTTATTTACTTTAATATTTTTTATTTTATGCTTATCGTATCTAACAAGCTATTTAGGTTTTCTATGTAAAGCTAATGATGATATTTATGATATGACAATACCATCTTCTGAAGTGATTGAAATAAAAAGAAAACTAAGTCATATGCTTATCTATAGGTTATTGATTATCAATCTTTATAATTATGATCCGTATTATTATGTATGTATTACACAAATAAATTTATGATATTTTGATATCTTTTAAGGTTATAATATTGTTTTGTATAAAAAACAAACAATAATAACATTTTATTATTTCGTGTGTATTTCTCAATTGCTTTATATAGTACTGATTTTCAGCTTTATACCATATATTAAGCAATTACATAAGTATATTATTTTTAAAAAATTTGCTGATTAATAATCATGAAATTTCTAAGAAATCATATTTTTAAAAATATTTTTTCATTTACCAATAAAAATTGATAATCTCTCCACTAGAAAAACTCTTCGGTTAAACTTTTTTTTATATATACTCTCCTTCTCCCTTTCTCAAAAACACTATTAACTTCCAACATCTCCAAGACCGACTCTCCAGATACGTTTAAGTAAGTTTAACAATATTCTCTACTTTTATCCTATCAAATTAGTTGATTGCCATAGTTTAGGTTGGGAATATAGTCTTAGATGATTTTGCATGTTGATAATTGTTCTAGATCATTATTGTATTTAGATGTTTTTGTGAATTTAGTTTTTTTTTTTAATATAATTTGGCTGATTATTGTTGTTACATATATATCTTTGCTTTTTATGTTCGTTTTGTATCTTAACCGTAATGTGTGTTTTTGAACATGTAGCAAAATATCTTTGATTAAGCTATTCATCTGCATCTTAGAATCAGTTTATAAATATGTTTATTTTCATAATTATCCTGAATGATTGTCTTAGATTTTTTTATCATTTTGATCGCTTAATGAATTTTTTAGTTTGTAATTATTTTAATGTTAATATCATTTCTCCTTGTAACCGAAATTTAAAATTTTTCAAACATCCAGAATCTATTTTCCATGGTAAGTAGCAAAGAATTGAAGATGAAGGATCCATAACATAAAGTACGGTTGACATACAAAACGAACATGAAAAGTACGGTTAAATAATATTTATATTTTATGCTAATCGTATCTAACAAGCTATTTAGATTTTCTATGTAAAATAATGATGATATTGGTGATATGTAAACACAATATTCTGAATTGATTGAAATATAAAGTTTTAATTTCGAATTTATATTTAAGTTATAGGTTACTCATTTACCAATAAAAATGATAATCTCTCCACTAAAACAAACTCTTCGTTTAACCTTTTTTCCTATATATACTCCCCTTCTCACTTTCTCAAAAACCTTAATATCTTCCAACATCTCCAAGATCGAATCTCCAGATAATTTTTCATAAGTTTAACAATATTCTCTACTTTATCGTACTAAATCAATTGATAGTCATAGTTTAGGTTGGGAATATAGTCTTAGATGATTTTGTATGTTAATAATTGATTTAGATCATGATTATATTTAGATGTTATTGTCAATGAAGTTTTTTTATATAATTTTGGCTGATTATTGTTGTTACATGATGATCTTTGCTGTTCATGTTTGTTTTGTATGTCAACCGTACTTTATTTTTATTTGAAATGTGTAGCAAAAGATCTTTAATCAATTTATTCATCTACATCTTAGAATCTGTTTATATATATGTTTCTTTTGGTAGTTATGAACTGGAGTATTGACTTATATTAGCTGATCATGTTGATCGTTTATATTGTTTTATTTTATAGTTATTTTTGTAGATGTTAATCTCATTTTTCATTGTAACCGATATTTAAAAATCTCTAAACATCCATATTCCACTCTCCATGGCAAGTAGCAGAGACTTGAAGATGAAGGATCCTGTTGTTGAAGATTTAGTCTCTAATTTTCAGTTTAACAAAGACAAATAGGAGACTAGAGAGCATTACTGTACTCTTCTCTGTCTTTTCAAGGAGTGCTATGAAGGTGTGAAGGCAAAACATGTGGAAGAGGTCGAGGTTGAGAAGCTCAATGCGAAGATTGAGGTCATTAACCAGGTCGAGAAGCTTTTTGGCCAGATTAAGGAGAAAGAAAGGCTTGAAGAAAAACTGAAACTTGCACAACAAATGATGGCTCATGTGAAAGTGTCACCATATCCCGATTGGTGCAATTTGAGTGAATCTTGGTTGTATGATTGATCTTTCTTCTTCATAAATAACAAATCTTGACTTATTTTTTTGTGTCTTAAATTTTTGGATGAAATGTTTCTCTATTTTGAACATAATCTTATGTTATATACTTTCGTTTTCAGTTTTATTTGCTCTATAATTTTAGATTGTGTGCTGAATCTTAATTAGCCTTGCAAATCATCATAATATATTTTGATGATAAATTCCTTTAGGCATAGCATCTGATATATTGATATTGATGACATGAATATATTTATGAAAATAAATGGTATCTAATTGTTTAACAATTTTGAAAGCATAAATCATTTTCAAATTATGTTTTTAACATTTATATATATTGCCTAGGATCATATTGAATTAGTAAAATAGTTAAATAAAAATAAATCTATACATTTTAGGACAAATACATTTCTAAAACATGATAATAACGATTTTGGGATGAAAACATATGTAATTCTTCCCAATAATGATAATATATCTATGATTTTTCATATTATAACAAAAAACTATTTATGCTAAGCCCAAATTTTTTATTTCAGGTCCAAATTTTTTTTAATAATTTTATACATATATCATTATAATTCCTTATTCTACAATTTAGTTGGTAATAATTAAAATTATCTATGCAAATCAAATATAACCTTATATTTGATATTATGTGGTTATATTATTAGATAATATCAAATATATACAAATAAATGGTTCCCAGTCTTTGTTGAGTAGGATATTTCAAGGTTTATGTACGTTTTAATGAACCTAAATATATCTAAAACTCTCTGTTAATATACTTAATGTTCGTTCTCTATTTAATAATTTTGACCTGTCAAAATAAAGAAAATAAAATACAACTATCTATACAAAATCATATTAGTGAACAACAGTCATGTGAACATATATACCATCAAAACATATCCCGCGCTTCTAAAGCACTGATCAAAATCTAGTCTAAACTATTAAAATAGAAGTACAGTTAGGAATTAACCCTAGATTTTTCTAAATAATTACTTTTTGTGCCACTCATCTTTTTTCTTAACCAACCCAGTACAGTAAACTTACCCAACAATTATATTATTTCTTTGAAACAAATAAAACTCAAATCTTATGGTGCCACAACATTGACGAATCTCTGCATATATTAGTAAACTAAAACCAAGTGCATAAAATTACTACTATCCATTTATAATTATTAAAATTATAAAATCACAACCAAATAACTGTAGTTATGTAATACACAAAACATCACTCAACCGCATTCTATGTGTAACATGAATATATACAATTTTGAAATTTTCATCCACTATAATAATTGTAAGTTCGATTTTATAACAGTTATTCAAAATCTTTTATATATCAAATAATTTTGAGAACAAAAAAAATACAAAGTATATATACAACCTCCACATGCTATTCCAAAAAAATCAGAAAATTTTGATCATTAGTAATAATTAAAAAAAAACAGAAATCATTTGAAATATAAATTAGAAAATATTCACATCCGATCTGCTAGCCAAACGATAAATACCTCCCACAAAATCTTCCTAAAATCATTCAGCCTCCAACTAACTTAACAAGACCCTCAATTTAGCTATCACTATCACGTTAATCACACATAACCGGTCCTAGAAATCTTAAGGCTAGAAGCAAAAAAAATTAAAAATGGCCGAAATAAAACTTTTGTTGGTAGGGTGTCTCGAACCCTAATACGGGTTAATATACAAGGACTCTTCAACCACTATACTAAGGAGACATTTTGTGAATTATGTGGCCGATATGTTTGATATTCTCTGGCGGCCAGAAGCCATTGCTTCTCCTGTTTGGGCCCAGGGCCAGCTCAAGAAATATATAAACATGATCTTAGTTTTTTTTTTTAAAAAAAATATTAAATTTGAGTTTTTTTTTCATATAGATATAATCTAACCGATTATATTTGAACTAAAAGAGTACAAAAAATTAAGTTATAATTTGCACTAAAATATTAGATATTTCATCTGCAAGAACATAATTTTAAATTATTACTCAAAAAGTATTTATTTTTCAAAAAAAAAAAACCCTATTTAAAAAACATACCAATTATTTTTAAGACAGACAAATAAAAAATATATGTACATATATGATCATGCAGACGATATGGATTGATAAGAAATAATGTATGTAACGTATCATTTTAATTTGTTATCAAAACCGAATATAATACGAACAAAGTTAGACATATACAAATTTATAAAAAATTGTTTAACATTTTCCTGAAAAAAAAACTGTTACCAATTTAGGGCTTAGCAAAAAATTTAAACCCGAAAAACCGAATAGGTTCCTATTCGAAACAATAGTACCGAACCAAAATTGGTTAAATATCCGAACATGTTCAAAATTTTGGTATCTAGAGAACCAAAATCGAATCCGATATGAACCAAAATACTTTGGGTATCCAAATATATCTGAATTATATTTATATAATTGAATATATTATCTACTTTTAGATGTAATATTGAAAAAGTATCAAAAATATAATATATATTTTGAGGTTTTCCAAATATATGTAAAAATATATACAAATAGTAAAAAGTATATATTTAAAGTAACTAAACAATACTAAAAATAACTTCAATATTTTCAAAAATCTATCGATTATCAATCAAATACTCAAGTCAAACCAAATTTTATGTTAAATTAAGGTATTTTGGCATATATTACTCAAATTTATATGTTATATATCATTTTATTTTTAAATTTATATGTTATATATCATTTATTTTAAAATTTTAAAATAATATAACGAGTTATCTGAACTCGAACCGAACCCACAAAGATCCGCACCAAACTCGAACCAAAATTTATAAATACCTGAATAGAACTGAAATCTCTAACCCTGAAAACCCAAAATCTGAATAGATCCGAATCAAACCTGAACGGCCACCCATATACCAATTATATAAATTTGACATTAAAAATTAAAAAAAAAACCAGTGTCCGCACAGGTCAAAAGTCTAGTTTGGTGTTTAAATAGAAAGTTAAAGTAACATAAAATTCATTGTTGGTAGGTACTTATATGAACAAAACTTAGGTTCACCCTAGGGTGAACCTTTAAATTCATCTCCCATCTAGTATCCAATCATAATGCCACATAGATTAATGAATTAAAAAATATTAAATATTAAAAAAAAATAACTAAAAATAAATAATAATACCGTTTTTTACTCTGCCAACTAAACCCTAAATTCAGATCTTAACCCTGACCCAAAACTTTATACCCTAAACCCAAACCCCGTACCCTAAATCCCAAACCTAAACCCAAACCCAAACCCTAGAGCCTAAACTCTAAACCTTAAATACTAAACCCTAAACCCTAGGGTTTGAATTCATGGTCTAAATTTTGGGTTTAGCGTTTAGGGTCTAGGATTTAAGGTTTAGAGTTTAGGTTCTAGGATTTGGGTTTAGAGTTTAGAATTTGGGTTTAGGGGCTAGGGTTTAGGTTTTAGGGTATATGGTTTAAATTTAGGGTATAGGATTTAGGTTTAGGGTCTAAGTTTGGGTTTTAGGGTGTATGGTTTGTTTTTAGGGTATAGAATTTTGGTTTAGGGTACGATATGAACTTAGGGTTTAACTAGCGGCGTTAGTATCGTTAAAATTAATGTGTTTTAAGTTATTTTGATTTTTCAAAAATTATTTACTATTTTTAAATCATTAATTTATGTGGCATTATGATTAGTTGTTAGTAGTGAGGTGAATTTAAAGGTTCACCTTAGAGGGTGAACCTAAGTTTTGTTAAAATTATATATTAGGCTGAAGATTTGCAACCACATTCCGTTACCAAATATGTATAGTTTTTTAATAAAAGCTAAACTAGATCTTAACCCGTCCGGCTGGGTGGGTATTTATTTTATGTTTTTATTTCTTTTGTTTGTATTAGATGATGAATTTTTAAAATTTAAACATAAATCTAGATTTAAAATTTATCTTTGCAGTTATAATAAGAATTAAAATTAAATGTTTAATTAATATTATGATATAAAGTTTAAATTTCCTAACTAAAATAATATAGAGAGGAGTAATAATTTTTTCCAATTTTAAAACCTTAGCATCCCTTAAAAAATAAATAAAAATTATAAATACATAAAATATATAAACATATCTGGAACCATAATTTCTATTAAAGTAAATTTGTTAAAAAAAAATAATCTTGCACTGTTGTTGTTTATTTCTAAAACTTGACCCGTGATAATATAAATATTTGCTTTCACTTTAATTTTTTTTTCTTTGTACTAATGGTATAATATTTTTCATAATATGTATATATATATATATATATATATATTAAATTAAAATGTATTACATAATTTTTGATATAACATTTTAAAATATAACAGTTTTTTATGTATTACATTGAATAATTATATTTTGTGATTTTAATCGTCGATTATATCATAGTGTATCATATAAACAAATCCAATATTTATAACTAATTGGACTTATAATATGAAACCATTATACTAATAATATATGAATAAATTATTTTAGTTTTATTATGATATATAAATTAATTATGATGTGTGAATTTTTATTTTATTATTTATTCTTAATAAATACTTAAAATATTTAATATCTTAATACAAAATATATTGGGAAATCTATTTTCGTTAAGATTTGATTAAAGAAATCTATTATTTAAATTTGTAAAAAGACATTAAGTGTTTCAATCTATAATTTTAATTAGGAAAAGACAGGCATACTTAGATATAGCATCAATAAATATTTCACTAGCATTATAATGTAAATAATTGGTAAAATTAAGGGGTATTTCTCTTTTCTACTTTTTTAATAGTATAGATGACTTTTGTGGTTAAATACTTTTGAGAATATTTAAAACAGCCGATTTTATTGTTATATTATAACAATAAGTGAAAATAAATTATATTTTTATTTAATCAATATTTATTCATATGATTCGAATTTCTATTTCATATTTAAAAGGTAGTAATAATATTTTATTAATATCTGTATTTTCAAATCTT